TATATATATATATATATATATACAGCATGGCGTGCGTGAGCTGCAGCAGCAGGATTTCACTAACAATAAGTCAGGCAGCAGATGAGAAAACTGATGCACGCCTTGCGTTGCTGCTGTAGACGCAACAAAAGCAGGAACAACAGCAGCAAAGCTGCTGTTGAAGGCAGCAGCAGTATGGGTCAGCATACTGCTAAAAGGCCAAGAAGGCAAAAGCATTCCCAACAAGCAGCCCTCGCGAGGCTCCGTTGCCACTTTTGACTGCAGTCGCCGCTGTCGCCGCTGTTGCTGCTGTTGCTGCTCCTGTTACTGCTGCTGCTGCAGTGGGTTGTAAAGCGGATGTCGTACATGCGGCACCACGCCTCAACAGAAGGAGTTGCGGCTGCCTCGTCTAAATCGGCAGCAGCAGCAGCAGCACCATCCGTTGCTGCTGCTGCTGCGGACGGCTGATCATCATCAGCACCAGCAGCAGGTGCAGCACGAGGTCTTCGAGGCTGAAGCATTGCATGCGGTAGCTTGGGGTCCATAAGTTTGCTGCCGCAGCTGGATCTGCCTATACACCCGAAAGAAGGCAGCAGCAAGGCCCACTCTGTCGCATCTGCAACAACAAGGCAATTCTGCCTGTTGCTTAGCCATCCTTCCACTGCAGCAGGGAAACGTAGCATCTTGTTGTTGCTGCTGCTGTTGCAAGTGTTGCTGTTGCAGTTGTCGTTTCTACTGCCAGTATTGTTGCTGTTGCTGTTGCTGTTGCTCTCCTGCCTCAATGGAGGGACCACGAAACAGCCGTCAATGGGCGAAACCAGCAGCAGAGCAACAGGCTCGGCTGCAGCAGGGCTTGCTACTGTTGCTGTTGCTGTTGCTGCTACTGGGAGCTCTCCTTCGGCGCGCTCTGTCGGCTCTGTAGCTGTTGCGTCTTTCTGAGAGGCAGCAACAGCAGCAGCAGCGGCTTCCTTTGCTGCTTGCCTATACTCCGTTCGGGCCCTAAGGAGGTCTGCAGTAGCCTCATCATCGCTGCCGCTGCTGTCACTGCTGTTGCGGCTGTCGCTGCTGCTGTTTCTGTCCGAGTCACTGCTAGTGTCGCTACCCGTGTTGCCGATGCTGCTACTGACGCTGCTGGAGCTGCTGGTGCTGCTGGTGCTGCTGCGTCTCTTGCGTCTCTTTCGTCTGTGGTGCACTGTAGCAGCAACAGGCTCTGGGGGTTCACTCCACAGTATGCACGCAGCGAACACTGTAGTGCGTCTCACTGCAGCAGCCAGCATGTCATTGTTGTTGTTGTTGCTGCTGCATTGCTGCGGCAGCAGCAAAGACTCATCGATAGAGAAGCAGGTGCTGTCACCGACAACTCGGACCCGTATTTTCCCCGTTGCAGCTGCAGCAAAACTTTCTACTGCTGCAGCTTCTGCTGCCGGTGCTGCTGTTGCTGGTGCTGTTGCTGATGCTGGGGTTGTTGTTGCTGTTGTTGTTGCTGCTGCTGCTGCTGCTGTTCGCAGGCGTTTGCTTCTTTGGTATATCTCTGCCGCAACAGAAGGAGGCCTTTGATTAGGGGGAGAGGAAATAGGGCAACCGCAAAGTGCGAAAATCGAAGGCCAGGGAAGCGGGCGCAACGGCTGCTGCTGCTGCTGCTGCATCTGCGGCTGTTGGTACTTATCCTGCAGTTGACGTACCTGCGGCTTACCTGGCTGTTGCTGCTGCAGAATAAGCTGCTGCTGCTGGCGTTGCTGTAATTCTTGCTGTGGCTGTTGTTGTTGTTGTTCCTCCGGTTGCTGATGCTGCTGATGTTGTTGGTGCTGTTGTTGTTGGTGCAGCTGCTGTTGCTGTTGCTCCTGAGAAGTCCCTTCCAAGGGTCTCTTGTGTCTCCGCAAGGTTGTTATCCAACTGGGGAGGGGCTGCGGCACTGCGGGCTGTTCGCTATCTAGCAGCAACTGCTGCTGCTGCCGCGCGTGCTTCTGCTCTTGCCCAACCTCTTGCTGATGCTGCTCCAGAGGCACACCGCTGCCGGCTGTTTGCTGGTCCCCTTGCCGCGGGTGCTCTTTAACCACCAACAGACGCTGCTGCGAGTCATACGGCCCATGCTGCAGCAGCCGGAGCCGCATTTGTTGCTGCCGCTGTTCTTGCTGCTGCTGTTGCTGCTGCTTCTGCTGCTGCTGCTGCTGTTGCTGCTGTTGAACGTGCTGCTGTTGCTGCTGCCACTGCTGTTGTTGCCACTGTTTCCGCTGCAGCAGCAGGAGATGCTGTTGCTGCTGTTGCTCCTGCAGCACCTGTTCTTGCTGCTGTTGAAGCTGCTGTTGCTGCTGTTGCATGTGCTGTTGCTGCTGCGGTTGAAGTTGCAGCAGCTGCTGTTGCTGTTGCTGCTGTTGCTGTTCCTGCTTTTCAAGTTGCAGCTGCTGCTGTTGGTGCTGCTGCTGTTGCTGTTGCTGCTGTTGCTGCTGCTGCTGTTGCACTTGCTGTTGTCCGGCTGATCGTGAAGCTTCGTGACCCTTAGTGTGCTCCCTCTGCCCCTGGAGCCCTTGGCGATCCTGCTGCTGTTGTTGTTGCTGCTGCTGCTGTTGGAGTTGCTGCTGCTGTTGCTCCAGCTCCTTCAATGCCTTCTGGGGTTTTCGCGCCTGCAGTAGAAGCAGCAGCAGCAGCAGCAAAACTGGCTGTCCTTGGATGGGGGGCCTCTGTTTGTGCATGCTGCAAGAGCAACAACAGCAGCACCACCACCAACAGAAGTAGCAGCAGCAACCGCAGCTCGAGGATCAGCAGCAACAAGATTAGCAGCCGCACGAGCAGCAGAAGCAAATGACTATCCGTTCTGATTGTGCATGCAGGGAGAGGGAGATCCACAGCGTCTGGAGCCGCACCACAGCAACAACAACAACAGCAGGAACAGCAGCAGCTGTTTCTGGAGTCTTACCCTTTTTCTGCAGTATCTTCGAAGTCCTTTTAGGATTTTCTTAGTTAGTTCTGCTGCTGCTCTGTTTGCATGCAGCACGACTTGCTGTAGCGGGGAGCAGCGCATTTGTGCTGCAAGAAGGCGCAGCAGCTTAGGGGCGGAGACAGCAGCAAGCTGCTGCGGTGTACGTACACCTAGGTGGTGTTGCAGCAGACGGGCAACAGGCAGGGAGATGCCATCAATATCCAGCAGCTGCTGCAGTTGCTGCTGCTCGGGTGTCTCGTGCAGCAGCAGCAGCCGCTGCCGCAGCTGCAGCAGCAGCAAAGCAATGATCCAATGGCCTGTCCTGTCGCATAATGCAGAAATCAAGGAAGCATTTAGAAGCGATTGCTGGTGCAGCTGCTGCAGCAGCAAACCCTTCCATCCAAAACTCTTTGCTACTTGCTGCTGCGGCACCCCCCGCAGCAAAGACACAACAGCAAGTGCAGCACGCAGCCGCACAAAGGCAAGAGGAGAAGCAACAATACTCCTAATACAATCCATACCACCTTGACCACTTCCTGCTTCTGCTGCTGCTGGTGGTGTTGGTGCTGCTGCTGCAGGTGCTGCTGCTGTTGCTGCGGTAGGGCATGCGAGAACACAATCTCTCACAGTAACCTGTAGGTGTTCACCCGGTTGCTGTTGGTGTTGTTTCTGCTGTTGCTGCTGCTTCTGCTGCTGCTCGGTGTCACTACTGGGCACAACAGCAGCAGTAGCAGCAGCAGCAGCAGCCGCAGCAGCAGGGTCGCGTTTGGGCATGCTGATAAAGGCACGTAGCTGCTCCAGTCCCACACCCATTCGATCTAAGGCGAGGCGCTCTGATGGTTGCATGCGCAGCATGCTTCTCTCTAGGTGTCTGAGGTTATCTGCAGTAAGAGCAGCAGAAGCAGCAGCAGCAGCAGCTGCTGCTGCTGCTGTTGCATCCCGTGCTCGTCGCGCTGCAGCAGCTGCAGCAGCAGCTGCTGCTGGCAGCGGCAGAGTTGGAGAAATCAAAAAGACCAAAGGCAAATCGTCATGAAGGGCTAAGCTGCTGCTTGCTGCAGCAACCGTGTAGCATGCTGCTGCACCTTCTTGAGGAGACAGAGCAGCAGCAGCAACAGCACGTCCTGTTGCTGTTGCTTCGTAACGACCAGCAGCAAAACGCAGCAACCCTAAGCGCAGCAACTCGGAGACAGCAGCAGTTGTCTCCCGATGCACTAGCGCAGCAAGCTGACTGTCCATCTCCTCCTCGTGATCCTCTTGCTGCTGCTGTTGCTGCTGCTGTTGCTGCTGCTGTTGCTGCTGCTGCTGCATCAGGCGGGTGCGGTGTTGGGTAACAAGGAAGGTGCAGCAGACGAGGAGGGCGATGTCTTCGTTGCTGCCGCTGCAACGCAGCAAACCCCTGCTGCAGCTAAGAGCAGCTAATAAAAGTCTTTGCATGCCGCTGCTGTCTTCTTTTAATGCGCTGTTAACTTGTGGGGTGCCTTGCAGCAGCAGCTGCTGTACCCTTGCTTCCTCCGAAGCCTTACAAAATACTATCGCACGACCCCCCTTCTGCTGCTTCTGCTGCTGTTGCTGCTGCTGCTGCTTGGTTTTGTCCTGCATGCGGCCTGCTCGGCCCGCCATTTGTCTAAAGTGAATGGCATCCAAGAAACTGCTGCCGATGTGGGGCGAATCAAACAACACGGAGCTGTACATACACCACAAAACAACAGCCAGCAGGCAGCAAGTCAGCAGCAGCAGCAGCAGCAGTAAAGGCATCACTAACAGGAGAGATATAGAATGACAGAAACAAGACCAAAAGCTACACATACTAGCGGGGGGGAGTATACAGATACAACAGCACCACCACCAGCAACAACAGCAACAGCAGAAGAAACAGCAACACGAGAAGAATATATACAGCAACACAACGACAGAAACGACCGCAACAGCAACAGCAGCAACAACATGTGCAACAGCGGACTCGCAAGGGAAGTTGACACCAGCAGCAAGAGTTGAAGTTGCTGCAAGAACTCTAATGAGTCCCTCCCTAAAGAGACTCTCTGATAGACGGCGTTCTTCTGCTGTTAGAGAACCATGGTGTACAGACACCCCAGCGGCAGCAGCAGCAGCAACTGCTGCCTTCACCTCCCCCCCTTGCAGCACCGCCACGTTGCGCACACGACGCATGCGCAACTGTGCTGCATCGGGGGAGAGGAAATAAAAGCGCTGCAGCTGTTGCTGCTGTTGCTGTTGCTGCTGCTGTTGTTGCTGCTCAAGATGAGATTGCTGCTGCTGCGCTAGGTTCCGCTGCAGCAGGGGGATGACATAATGCGCAGCAAGAAGAGCAACAGTTTCTGCTGCTGCTTGGCTGCGACAGAAGATGAGAACGCTGTCTCCTTGCTGCAGCAGCAGGAGCAACAGCCGCAGCAACGGCTCACGAGCAGTAGCCGTCGCAAGCGTGGGGCATTGCGAGTTGCTATCTGTAAATTTCCCATGCTGCTGCTGCTGCTGTTGTTGTTGTTGCTGTTGCTCCTGCTTTTGCTGCTCCTGCTGCTGTTTGTGCAGCTGCAGCAGCAGCGGCGTCAGGGGTGGCGGGAGCTTGACTTCCGGCCATTGCTGCTGTGGGCTACCAGGAGCAGCAGCAGCAACAGCAGGCTTGACGAACAGACGTGCAGACTGTTGATTTTTTTCTGTTGCAGTCGTTTGGGCACCTTTGCCTTCAGGTCCTCTCGCTGCTGCCGTTGATGCTGCTGCTGATGCTGCTGCGCTGCAGCAGCAATAGGACTCCTGCAGCGGGAGGGGTCTGTGGGGATTCGAGTAAACAGCAGCAGACAGCCAGGCAGCAACTTCGTGTATATTGCTGAGGGTAGCAGACATCCCTACGACCTGAATAGGCAGCAGTACCTGCTGCTGCTGCTGCTGTTGCTGCTGCAGTTGCAGCTTGGTGTTGCAATATACTACTAGAGAAAGGAGACACTCAAGAAGGGCCCCTCTGCTGCTGTCTTCGAGCGCATGCAGTTCATCTACAACAAGCAGCCCCACTTGCTGCAGCAGCAGATTCTTTGATGCCAGCTGCTGCAACAGCGCTGCTGCTTTTTCTACTGTACAGAAGGCGACATCGAAGGTAGCAGCATCTGCTGCTGCTTCTAACCCTGCGGTGTCTCTGCTGCAGTGATGCAGCGCAACAACTTTTAATGGTAGCTCAGCAGCAGCAAATAGACGCTGCAGCTTTTGCTGCTGCTCGTCAATTAAAGCGACAAAAGGCAGCACAACAATTGCCCTTCGAGGTGAATGCATGCAACTCGCTGCTGCTGCTGCTGCTTCTCCTGGTGCTCCTGTTGGTGGTGGTGCTGCTGTGTGGGGGGATGGAGATGGGGATGGAGAATCGGGGGTGCCTGCTGCTGCTGCTGCTAAGGCTGTGGGCCACTGCAGCTGCAGCTGTTGCTGCATCTGCTGCTGCTGCTGCAGTGTGTCTAGCGGTGGGAGCTGCAGCAAACCGAATACATGACGCAACAGAATCAGCTCAGCAACGAGACCTTTTCCTGCCCCTGTGGGGGCAGAATACAAAATGCTTAAAGATCCATTCAACACTCGCGAGTCTGCAGCAGCGGCGGTAGCAGCAGGTGGTGGTGCTGCCGCTGTGGTTGCTGGTGTTGTTGTTGTTGTTGTTGCTGCTGTTGCTGCTGCTACTCGTCGAGGCCAACGCAAGGCAATTCCAGCAGCAACAGCAGCAGCTCCTGCTGCTGCTGCCGCTGCTGTTGAGTGTACTGCTGCTTTTCTGGGAGGGGTTGCTGCTGCGGCTGCTGCTGCTGCTGCTGCTGAACCTGCAGCCGGAGCCAAGACAGCAGCGCCCTCCGCTGAAGCGCGAGGAGTACCAGCATCCAAAGCAGCAGCAGACTTAGCGTGGGTACCAGACGCAGCAGCAACATTTACTGCCGCTGCTGGTCTGGAGACAAGGAGACAATCTCTTTGCCAAGGAAGGAGACACTTAATGCCACGAATGTCTTTAAATGCTTCTAAGACAGCAGCAACGGGAAGGAATGCTGCCAGCAGCAAGCTTGCTTCATCTCCTTCACATTTCTTGTCTTGCTGCTGCTGCTGCTGCTCCCGTTGCAGGTTCTGCTGAAGCACTTGGTGCTGCTGCTGCTGTTGCGGAGCCCCACAGGTGCGGGCCAGGCTGGAAGAGGTTTGCGGCTGCTGCTGCTGGTGCTGCAGTTGTAACTGCTGCTGTTGCAGATGATAATGCAGCTGCTGCCACTGTTGTGGCGATTGCTGCTGCAGCTGCTGTTGCCGTTCCTGATACTGCAGAGGCGGTTGCTGGCGCTGCAGTAGTTGCTCGTGCTGCAGGGGTTGCTGCTGCTGCAGAGGTTGCTGCTGCTGCTGCTGCAAGGGTTGCTGCTGCTGCTGCAAGGGTTGCTGCTGCTGCTGCAAGGGTTGCTGCTGCTGCTGCAAGGGTTGCTGCTTCTGCAACGGTTGGTGGTGCAGGGGTTGCTTGTGCAGAAGTTGCTGTTGCTGGAGTTGTTGTTGCTGCTGCAGCGGTTGCTGCTGCACAGGTTGGTGCTGTTGCTGCAGTGGTTGCGGCTGTTGCAGTGGTTGATGCTGTTGTGGCAGCTGCTGCAATGGCTGCTGCTGTGGTTCGTGCTGCAGTTGTCGTTGCGGTTGCTGTAGTGTTTGTCGCTGTTGCTGCTGTGGTTGTTGCTGTTGCTGCTTTTGTTGCTGTTGGGGAGGTTGCTGCCGCAGTGGTTGCCGCTGCAGTGGTTGCCGCTGCAGCGGTTGCCGCTGCTGCAGCGGCTGCTGCTCCACTGGTAGCTGCTGCAGTGGCTGTTGCTGTTGCTGCTGCTGCTGGTGCAGGGGTTGTTGTTGCGGTGGCTGCTGCTGCAGTTGTTGTTGCTGCAGTGGTTGCTGCTGCAATTGTTTCTGATGCAGCAAATGCCGTGCTTGGCCCAGTTTTGATGGAGATGATTGCTGCTGTTGCCGCTGCTGTTGTTGCTGCCGTTGCTGTTGCCATTGCTGCTGGTGTAGTAGGCTGCCTGGCACAGCCTGCAACTGCTGCTGGTGCTGCTGCGGTTGCCGCTGCTGCTGTGGCCTGTTTACTCCGCACCGCTGAAGTTGCTGGTGCTTCTGATGATCCTGCTGCTGTACCGGGTGTGGTTTATGCTGCTGTAGTCGTTGCTTCTGCTGTTGCTGCAGTTGCTCTCGCTGCTGCTGTTGTACTTGCTGCGTTTGCTGCTGTTGCTGCTGCCAATCCTGTGCTTGCTGCTGTTGCTGCTGCTGCTGCGGTGTAGCTCGCGGTGAGCAGCGCAAAGGGGAGAGCTGCTGCGGCTGGTTTGGCCGTAGGTGCTGGTAATGCTGCCCCTGCTGCTGAGGTTGTTGTTGTGGCTGTTTCTGTACTTGTTGTTGCACTTGTTGCTGCTGCTTCTCTGCCTGATGCTGACGCTGCAGCTTGTCCTGTTGGGCTTGTTGCTGCGGCGCGAAATGCCGCTGCAGCGGAGACTGCAACACGTGCTCATGCTGCAGCTGCAGCTGCTGTTGCTGCTGATGAGGCCATGGTTGATATGAATGTAGCAGACTCTGCTGCTGGGCCTGCTGATACGGTGTCTGTTGCTGCGGGGCCTGATGATGCGGCTGCTGATGCTGATGCAGTTGGTCCTGCTGCTGCTCCTGCAGCTGCTGATGCTGTTGCCGCCGCAACTGCTGCTGCTGCAGCTGTGGTTGTTTCTGGTGCTGGTGAAGCAGCTGCTGCCGCACCTGCTGCTGCTGCACCTCGTTTTGCTGGGGTTTCTTCTCATGTTGTTGCTGTTTCTGTTGCTGCTCTTGCTGGTGCTGCTGTTGCTGCTGAGGCTGCACTCGACGCTGCACATGAGGCAGCAGCGGGTGCTGCTGCTGTTGAGCGTTGCGCTCAGACATTTGCTGCTCGAACTAAGGCCCTGCTGGCGGGACGCCTAGCAGCGGAGAAGCAGCAGACCCAGCAACAGCAGCAGGCATGGCAGCAGCAGCTGCTGCTGTTAGTCTGCTTGACCCCATAGAAACCCTATTAAAATGAAGGAAGCCCCTGTTGTCTCCAAGCCGCAGAAGCTGCAGCTTCTGCAACTGCTGTAGCTGCCATTATTTCTGTTGCTGCAGCGGTTGCTGCTGGTGTTGTTGCCGCTGTTGCTGCTGGCAGCGCATCGACGTAACACAGGGGCCTCTCTGCAGCATCAGCAGCAGCAGGCATAGTGTTGACTCTTATTGGTTGTTTGCGGCTGCTTATGTTGGCTTTGAGGTTGTTCTTGTTATTGCTGCTGCTCTAGGTGCTGCTGGGGGTGTTACTGTCGGCTGCGGTGTGCATGCGCATGCAGGTCTGTCGGCAGCAGCAGCAGCTGCGGCAACGGAAGCCACAGCAGCAACAGGGGCAAAACACCTTGGACTTATTGCATGCCCTCTCTTTCGCCTTTTTATTGTTTTGTTACAAATCAAAGCAGCAGCAGTTTACCCTAGCAGCAGCAACTTGAGCAGGAGCATACCGCCCTAAGTTGTCGGGCTCCTGCAGCAGTAGCGTCTGCTGTTGTTGCTGCAGCAGCAGCAGCGGCAACTGCATAAGTAACAGTAGCAGTAGCAGCATACAGACATGCCCAGATCTGTTCAGTACAACGAGGTTACTGCCAAATATATGTTACACGCAGATACTGCCAGCTGCTGCTGCTGCTGCTGCTTCTGCTGGTGAATCGACTGACGCCTTAGTTGCCTTAGCAGCAGCACAAGCAGCAATAGCAAGTCTTCGCCCCTCGCTAGCACTAGCAGACCACCTAATGCTGAGCAGTAGCTGTTTGCTGTAGCTGCAGGCGTAGTAGCAGCAGAAAATATGATACCCATGCAGCAACAGCAGGAGCAACGGCAGCAGCAGCAAGACTCTGGGTGGAACGACCAACAAAGAGATGAGTTGAGGTTGCCATCCGTCGAAGAAGAGAAGAAGACTTCCACAGCAGCCGTGCAGCAGCAGCTGCTGGAGCTGCTGGAGCTGCAGCAGCAACTGCAAGCCGATGCTTCGGGTCAGGGTATAGAGCAGCAGCAACAACAGCTGCAACAGCAGCAGCAACAGCGGGGTCCTTGGGTGTATGAAAACTTAAAGAGACTGCTGCCTCCTCAGTTGTCGTCGTGGGTTGTTAAAACCGCGAAGGAAAACAGCAGCAGCAGCAGCGACAGCAGCAGCAGCAGCAGCGACAGTAGTAACAGCAGCAGCAGCGAGAACGGCAGCAGCAGCAGCAGCAGTGAGAACGGCAGCAGCAGCAGCGGCAACGGCAACAACGTTAGCTGCAACAACAACGCGTGCGCCAACGGCAGCATCAGCAGCAGCAGCAACAGCAACAGCAACAGCAGCAGAGAAGGCCCCCACCTTGTTGCAGCGCTTCGCGAGTTGCTCTTAGCAGTTGTTAAGCGCCAAGCAACAACCAACAGCAGTACAGTGTCTGCTTCAGAAGGTGCAGGAGCAGCTGCTTCAGTAGAAGCAGCAACAGCACAAAGGGAAGAAGACACGGCAGCTACCCCACAGCTAGGGTCTGCAGCTGCTGCAGGGGCTGCAACTGCAGACACCGCAGCACCGATTCGTGCCTCGTCATCTGGGCGAAAGAAGCAACTCAAGCAGCAGCAACAACAACAGCAGCATCAGCAGACGCAGCAAGCAGTTACTTCTCGCGGACGACCTCGTGTGCGCTCTTCCGCTGCTGCTGCATCACCGTTTCCCCACCAGCAACAACAGCAGCAACAGCAGCAACAACAGCATCAGCAGCAGCATGTCGAGGGAGAAGGTGGCGATTGGTTGCTGCGGTATGAAGGGAGACGCCTTGGTGTCCCTTTAAGAAAGGAGACAGTTGATCATTCATTCGATCCTCGATATACACATAATGCTAAACTGTCTCCCGATAGATATACTGCAACAGGTAACCCCTTGCTGCTGCTCTTGCCGCTGCTGCCGCTTCTGCTGCTGGTGGTTGTGATGATGATGCTGCTCCTTGTGGTTCTGCTGCTATCGCTGTTGCTGCTGTTCGCATGCTCCTTGTTCGCAGATTCTCACTGCTGTAGGATCTGCCCCTCACGTTGCTGACGTTGCTGCTGCTGTTGTTGCTGCAGGCGGACGTAATTGGGGCAGTGCCCTTGCGCGTTGCTGCTGCAGTTGGGGTTCATATTACTTTGAGGTAAAAGTGGGCCCCCTAGGGCCGCCTCGTGGGGGCCCTTCAGGGGGGCCCCCTTCTGAGGGTATCGAGTGTGGGTTTTTAGCAGCAGATCAAGTAATGGATTTGCCTGTAAAGGGATGGGGAGAAGCAAAGACTATAAAAGAAGTAGCAAAAGTATGTTTATTATAAATAGAAACAAATTCAATAATTAATAATTATTAATAATTAACAATAAAATAAAATACGTAAATTATAAATAAATAAATAAATAAATAAATAAATAAATAT